ATCAGATCGGGTGCAATTCCCACACTGTGTCTCTGGTGTTGTCCCCCACAGGGCCATGGGTCAGTGAGAGACATCATGTCTCATAGTGGGGCTGGCTATGCGGTCCTCCCTGGACTGGCTCATAGTGAGTCTTTTAAGAAAGATGGAGTTTAAAAAATTTAAGATGACTTCTCAGAAGTTGCAATTGATCCTACATCACTTGTATTAAATTTATCATAGATTGTTAAAATGTAGTTTATTATTATCATTATGGGAATAGTTATTAACTCATTGTGGTTTTCACCATGTAAGTTACATTTGAAATTTATTGGTGGCATGACTTGAATTGAAAGTGTTTTCATTTTCTTCCCTTAGGGTCTCATGGACCAGTTTCGTCAAGTTGAGTCTCACCTGAATACGTTAAATCAGTTCCTCACAGATATTCTTGCTGATGTGAAGGCTAAAAGGAAAATTTTGGCAACTAATAAACTGCATCAGTTGGAAAGAGAATTATATGTCTATTTTTTTAAAAATGAAGCTTACCTGCAAGATATTGTGGAAAATTTAGAAAGTCAGTCAAAGATGAAAGCTGTTGGTCTTGAAGATTGAAAACTACTAAAAATTGAATCTTTACTACTGTCCTGATTTGGAATGTCATGTTTTAATGTTTTACCTATAAGAATACATTCTGTCCAACACCACTCAATTTTTAAATTCAAGGTCAAAGGAACATTTTATTTAATGAACTATAGTATTATATCCGATTGTTTTGTTCCCCAATAGAACATGTTTGTTCAGTTTCAGACTTTTTATGACTTGAACATTTGCTTGGTGGCACTTAGTGGGTGAGCTGCTTAGTCATAGTAATTTTTTATCTACAAGAAAAAAACTATTATATAATGTAAATATTTTAAAATTAGTTAATACCTCTCCTTTCCCCCCTTTTCCCCCCGTGTGTGTAGAGGGAAATAGAAATTTTCTGCTGTTTAGATACTGAAGATAGTTTTACAAGTTTGTGCTGGCATTGTTAAATCTGTAGGCCTTAAGATGTGGCATGACAGGTTTCTTTGTATCTGATTATAAAGTAAAATTCTACCCCTCCAACTTTCTTTCCCCATAATTCCCAGCTACAAAATTTGAGGCTGTATTAATTAATGCTTCTACTTAAAGCATGAAGAAAATCAGGACTCCACTGGCCATTGTCCTTTTTAGGCATAAGGTCCTGGGCACTCCAAACTTGTGCAAGACAATTAACTTACTGTGACTAGCACCATACGTGGCCTCCAAATGAAACAATTCCCCGGAGGAATTGCTAAAAGGATGTGTGATGCTCTTTTATTCAGTTTCTTTGAAATGACAAAGCAAACATTGGCTTGTGTTTCTTTTAGGAGACTACCATAGTATTTGAGCAATTAGAAAACACTTGATGTTGGTATAAAGTAATTAAAAGTAGCTTATTTACCAGTTATTGTTTCAAATGCTTCCTGAAGTCCAATTTAGACATGATGGTATTAAACGTGAACCTTAAAGAAGAAAGCGAAGACAGTCTTTTAAAACATATTCCTGCATTTACCAGGGAATTCCAATCTAAAAGTATATTTTAGGTGGTCTTTATGGAACTGCTTTCATCTATAAAGAGTCTTGTAAACAAGGAGCAGATCTACGATGTCCTATGGGATGGTTATGAGTCAGAATCAACTCAATGGCATTGAGTGTGTTTCTTTTTATTTATATTCAGAATTAGCCTAACAGCGAGCCCTGTTGATTTCCTTAGCCATTGAACAAAAATGTTTTTTCTAACTGTATTTATACATCATTTAAAATTTTATATTAATTAGGTATTAATATACTTGGCAATTTTATAGCAATAAATGTGTAAGATTTTACTGTCAGCTGCTTCTCACTTGAGTGGCTTTTTTTTCTATTTTACCTGCTGATGGAGAATATACTTTTACTTTTTCTTTCCTCAGATAATATGGAAAACTATCGTGCCTGGTTTCTTTGCTCATGGTAGCAAATTCAGTTTCGTGTCGAATATGTTAGCTATATGACTATATGCTTGGTAATGTGTTTTAGCCCCTACTGGACCTTCAGCTTAGTCCTAGTGGTTTAGGCTATAGGTTGGGCTGCTAACCTCAAAGTCAGCAACTTGAAACCAGCAGTTACTCTGTGGGAGAAAGACGAGGCTCTGTACTCCTGTATAGATTTATAGTCTCAGAAACCCACAGCTACAGTTCTACTCTGTCCTGTACGAATCAGAATCGGCTAGATGGCAGTGACTTTGGTTTGGAACTTTCAGCCAGGGGCCAGTAGCTGAGTGGTATGATGAGTGTGTGTATCTATCCTAGTTCCCCAAGTCAGCTATAAATAATTTTTGTATGTTTAGATTTATATATTTGAAGACTAGTAACAGCCATTTTTCAAATCTCCATAATATTGGGAGAGAGTACACACTTCAAAATTGGTTTCCCTGAAATATGTTTTTTAGTTTTCTGCTTGTTTAATATAATGTTTGAATTGAGTCTTAGCTTTTTTTCTGTACTGTTCTTTACTATGGGGTAATTGATACAAATTTACTGTGGTGGTTATTAGTGTATTCTTTTCTTTTTTTTTTTAAGGCTACAGTGCATAAGTTTTTCAAATAACTAGTGCTTCCTATTTTCAAGTCTCAAAATTAATATGTGGGCATTTATCTTACATTTAGGATTTTATGAAAATGGACAATAATGAGGCATTTGTAGGCTTTGAGCTCTGTCAGCCTCCACTCTCCAGTGTTGCTCAGAAGATTATGTCTGCTATGCACTCAGTTCACTTAGTGGATTCTGAGAATTTGACAGAGAGTGAAAAGAGTGAGTAATTTTTTATGAACTTTGCTGGGTTTTGTTACCTTGAATGTTCATTCTAAGAGTTGAAAATGTCACAAAACTTTTCCAAACAAGGATAAGTAGAAAAGTATAGCTACAAAAGGATAGAAACCTTTATTAAACAAAAATACCAAGAATCTGAAGTTACTGTTTCTCGACACAAGAATAGAAACCTTTATTAAATAAAATTATCGAAATTGTGAAGCTGTTGTTTCTCAATAGATCCTCCATCTAAGTCTGCACAGTTCCTTTTCCACCTCTAACCCTTGCTGAAGAATCCTGTGTTCTTTTCTTGATACCACAGCCAAACCGTTTTGGCACCTCCCCGGATCCTAAGCAGTGTATCTTTTTAAATATGTTTGTTTTATCTTGGGAACAAAACGTTTGAAGGTACAAGATCAAGGCTGTTGGGTGGATGGAGTAAGGTTTCCCAATGAAAAGTTCTCCTAGGACAGCGCTTGGTTCCCTTAAAGAGTGAACAAGTAAGTTGTGTCATCATAGAAAAAAATCTGGCGCAGCTTTTCAGACCTTTTCTCACCAATGTGGTTTTTAATTTTCTGAAAATTTCTTCCTACTAAGTCCCTCTGATTTTCCTTCAAGAAAATCTATCAAGTTTACCTTTGGAATTCCATAAACCAGTTACTAGAACCTGAGCTGACCGATCTCTCTGCCTAGAATATAACTGGCCCTGCACATCCCTTCGGAAGCCACTGTTTGGATCTTTTTTTTGTTTTTTGAGGCAGCCTCAGGAGATTAAGACAGTGCATTACTGAGAGAACTTGTCGGTAGCCATTCACAGACAGTATGCTTGACCATGCTGTGGAATAAACCTGTGTATGTTTTAACTGGAACCTTACTTAATAAAAAATATTTTTTTTCTTTTTTTTTTTACTTTCCAGTCTAGAACTTTGTAGGAAAATTCCATGCCTACAAATAAATGAAACTCAGCCTCCCTTTATAATGCCCCCTTTCCTGGTTCTGTGCTCTTTGAGCTGCTTACTGAATTTCCAGGGATTTCCTTACAATCTGTATTATGTATTTAAGTATCCTCAAAAGAGATGGACTTTTTAAAAAAAATCATTTTACTGGGGGCTCACACAATTCTTATCACAATCCATACATACACCCATTGTGTCAAGCACATTTGTACATTTATTGCCCTCATCATTCTCAAAACATTTGCTTTCTACTTGAGCTCAGTATCAGCTCCTCACTTTTCCTCTCCCCACTCCCTGCCTCCTTCATGAACCCTTGATAATTTATGTTATTATTTTGTCATGTCTTACACTATCCGACATCTCCCTTCACCCACTTTTCTGTTGTCCGTCCCCCAGGGAGGAGGTTATATGTAGATCCTTGTAATCTGTTCCCCCTTTCTACCCGGCCTTCCCTCCATTCTCAGCACTGGTCCTGAAGGGATCCTCGGTCCTGGATTCCCTGTGTTTTCAGTTCCTATCTGTACCAGTGTACATCCTCTTGTCTAGCCGGATTTGTAAGGTAGAATTGGGATCATGATAGTGGCGGGGAGGAAGCATTTAAGAACTAGAGGAAAGTTGTATGCTTCATCGTTGCTACACTGCATCCTGACTGGCTCGTCTCCTCCCCGCAACCCTTCTGTAAGGGGATGTCAGTTGCCTTCAGTTGGGCTTTGGGTCCCCAATCTGCACTCCCCCTCATTCACAATATGATTTTTTGTTCTTTGATGCCTAGAGATGGACTTTTTATGGTCTTTTAATTTTGGCCCTCAAGTCATTGAACTTGAACTTAGTTAGGTTTCTGCTGTGTATAGTGGACAAGAGAAGTGTTTTGATAATATATGTCGTAGTAGAAATACAAGCTTTATGTGACAAAGATCCGTGCATTTGTACACATAGGTGTTTATGACATTAATCACTGCCATTGAGTTTATTACAACTTATGTTGACCATATATATGGTTTCTGAAGCTCTAAGTACTTAAAGGAGCAGACAGCTGCATCTTTCTCCTGCAGAGTGGCTGGTAGATTCCACCCAGTGGTCTAGTGTTTACCTGACAATGCCACCAGGGCTCCTAGTTTATGGCAGAAGGTGATATTATAATAGAAAAGGCAGTGCGTGACATGTTTAAAAACGTAGCTGTAATGTTTGGAACTCCAGGAACAGTTTAAATTTTTAATGTCTCTTTTCTTACATAGTAAGGGGAATGAAACACAATTAAGTAAAATTTTATTTTAGGTGAAGTAAATAAGTATTAAGCAAAAGCTATTATAAATGCTATTTGTTGATTAAGATATAGTAACATTTAACATTTTCATCTTGGCACATTTAGGTATCTATGATTATATGTCTTATTACAGAAGACATCACTAGTAAATAAACCAGTAAGCATTTTTGGGTGTGGACTACTAACCTTGATAATATTTTGGAGAGAATGGAGGTGATATTAAAGCTAAATATTCAACATCATAGTTAAGATAATAATCAAAGGTGAAAGAGCTTTGTCCTTGACTCTGTATACTTAGCTTTCTAAAGTAAAGAACAAGTGATACTTCAGAGGCAGGAGTGTACTTCCCTTCATAAGCTTATACTGTATTAAGAATAATGAAATGCCACTGGAGGCTACAATATGGGTCGCTCTTGAGAACCACTCTTATGGCAGTCAGCCCATTTGATGTCAGCTCTAGTTGTGTTCTTGAACTAGCTCTTAAAACCCTAGTTTTAGTAAATATTACTCAGAAGATAGGGGGAAAGATAACATTACTTTTCCGCCAGGTTTGCGGCATAACAGCAATGCTACGGTTTTCAAATAACAGCAGCAACAACAAAAAACCACTAAAGACATTGCCATCCAGTCATTTGAGATGGAGAGTGACCCTGTAGGACAGAGTAGAATTGCTCTGTAGGCTCCATCTCTATGGAAGCAGACGGCCACACCTTTCTCCCATGGAGCTGCTGATGGATATGAACTCTGGCTTTTGGGTTTGCAGCCAAGAGCTTAACCAGGGCACCAGCAGGGCTCCTCCACTACAAAGTTAGTGACTTGAAACAACACTTTGTGTGTCAGGCCAGACTACAATCAAAGTTTCTGCCAGGGATGATCTCCTCTGAGACTCGAAATGTGGAAGGATTTGCTTCCAAGTTGACCTGATTGCTGGCAGAATTCAGTATTTTTGCATGCTTTTGGACAGAGGACCTCCATGTGTTGCTGGCTGTTGCTTCAGCTTTCCTCACTTCCTTTCCTCACGGTCCTCTCCATTGGCAGCTTGCTCTTTCAAAGCCAGTAAGTGTCTAAGTAAGGCTGACATTCGTTTTATGTGATTACACACCTCCATCCTATTGCCTTTGCTGTGTTTGTTGCTTAGAAGCTATTCGTTAAATTCTCATACTGAAGAGGGGATTTCTCAAAAGTGTGAATACCTGGAAGCAGACCACCTAAGAGTCTGACCCCCATAAACTCCCACCAGTTTTCTTTATATTTCATGTGAGTCTGAATTAACGTTGCATTGTTATTGGCTTATTTGTTGGTGATGAACAGCTCAAGACTGATTGATTCCTAGACTTTTATGATACTTTTCTTTCCTATAAGTAAAGTATTATAAATCTGAATTTTAATTTTAAAAGCTTGCTTCATATCGAATAAATATTGTAATTGAAAACAAAAATGTAATGGCAATACATAAAATACAAATACTTGCTTTTGTAAACCCAAGGAATATGAAAACAGCTACATATAATTTTGAAGCCTAATTTTTTATCTGTTAGACTGAACTATCTTAAAATTAAAATCCAGTAAAGATTAGACTGACCCTTCCCTGATAATATCATTTTGCAACAAACATAGCTCCTTATTTAAAAATCCTTTTGCTGTGAATGCCCATGTAACTACTTAAATTGCTACTACCTCAAAGTTTCCTTCTCAGTGATAAATCTCTCCTCACTTAAAGGTGACCATTCTTCTGTCTTTTATGGCACCTACATCCCAATGACCAACATTTTCTATTGTTCCCAAGACATTTTTGGCAGAAATGACTTGTCCACCACAGCAACATTCATTGTTTCCTTCTCAGCCACCCCATCAGACTGCGTCTCAGACTCATTGCATTCAGGTGTGACCACATGGTCACATTCTTATCGGTAGGTGTGTGCCATTTCCAAGCTAGGCCTGCGGAAAGTAGACTTGCCTCCTCTACTGCTTTTCTGTCAGCTGGAACCTGAAACGAGGTCCTTGTGAATGATGACAGTGTTGTAGAAGATTGTGGAGCAACATGCTGGAAGAGACCAGAGGCAGTTTCCCAAGTGACTTCATGAAACCCAACTGCACCGTTGACTGGGACAGCTCACTTCAGAACATGAGAGAAATAAATGCCCTTTTTGGAAGCCACTGATGCTGAGTCTTTTGTTACTACTACCTCGCCCTTTTCTTTCATTCATACACCAGAGGACTGTAACCAAAATTGAGTCCACCAGACTCAAAGGTTCAGTTTTACTTAGTAATGTTGAAAGTCTCTGGGTTTTCAGGGTCATTTTAGGGACTTCGTTTGATCTGGTGCTAGGCTTATACATATGATTGAGTACTTATTTATTAGTGTATGTTTTTTATTTATATCAGTACCTATACTAAAAAGTAATAACTCCAACTCATTGCTATCAAGTTGATTCCAACTCTGATCTTACAAGACAGGGTAGAACTGTGCCTGTGGGTTTCTGAGATTGTAACTGGGAGTAGAAAGCTTCATTTCCTTCCATGGAGCAGCTGGTGGTTCTGAACTAGTGACCTTTCAGTTAGGAGCCCAGTGTGTAACCCACCAAGGCTCCCATCCTCCTTCCATGTCTATAGAAATAAATTTTTTTAGTAAAGACTTGCTAGGATTCTTTTTCATTTTATCTTCTTAGAGCTTAAAGGTAAATGTGGTATTTTCCACTAATACCAAAAATTTTACAATCGCTTCTCAGCCTTTTGGCTAAATCAAGTGTAGTAGAAATTTTTACAAACATTACCCTTAGGGG